ATTAACAGGAGATAACTGATAACTGACATCCATTAAACATGGCACGTGGAACTAGAAGAGTCTGCCCCAGTGAGCGAAATAAATGGTTCAGTTCGAAATTCCAACCACCTGAAGAAGGCCGGAGCGTACAACGGCCGAGACGTTGTGATAAATATGGCGACAAAGATGAGGACAATAGTTCGAATAATGTAAATAATGTACATAATACCTCATATCAGAAATATAGACATATATATATATGTGTATATATATATATATATATATATACACACACACACACATATATATATATATATAATCCATGTAAAATGAGAACGAATAGAGTCCAAATCCGACGTTCGTAACAGTCAATTTAAAAGTGGGCTCAATACAAAGTAGAACGCCTGATGAGATGTGTCGAAACATGATTGCATTCGTGTAGCGTTTTTTTTACATGGTCTTGAAGTAATATCCTAAAATAAAATATATATATATATATATATATATATATATATATATATATATATTCCCTGTTTAATATTATTTTTTGTTTGGAAGATTATATATAAAAAGGAGAAGGTTCGTGGATGCACCGATACATAAGCTTTTGCTTCATTTTTTGATCTGCACAATAAAAAAAAAACTTGGAAAACCTCAAAAATCTTAAACCGCGCCGTTAAGCAAATTATCTTTATAGGAAACCATCAGACCCAAACCATAAAATTATTGACATGGAGAACAGTCCAAAAGTTAATAATACAAAAATTAAATAAATAAAAAGCGGCAGCTAAGTTCAACTTATGAAGTTTTTGAATCGGTTTGATTTATTGAGCAACTTTATATTTATTTCCGATTTCTGTTTACATCAGTTGGCACATTAAAGGGAGAAAAAACGAACGAAGAGAAGAAAGAAAGAAAGAAAGAAAGACAGACAAACAGAAAGAAAGAATGAAAGAAAGGGGAAAGAGATAAAGCAAGAGAGTAAATGAGAGAGGAAGATAGGAAAAGCGAAATATGAAATAAAACAATAAAGAAAGAAATGAATTTTGTATATATAAGTAATATAGAAAAAATAGGAGATATGAGAAAAAAAGAAAGAAAGGAGAAGAAAGAAAGAAAGAGAAAAAAGAAAAAAGAAAGAAAAAGAAAGAAAAATATGAAAGGAAAGAAAGAAAGAAAGAAAGAAAGAAAGAAAGGAAGGAAGAAAGAAAGAAATGAAAGGCGTAAAGACATTAAAAAAGCGGGAAAAGGGTTTATGGAAGATAGTTAAAGAAAGAAAGAAAGAAAGAAAGAAAGAAAGAAAGAAAGAAATGAAAGGCGTAAAGACATTAAAAAGCGGGAAAAGGGTTTATGGAAGATAGTTAAAGAAAGAAAGAAAGAAAGAAAGAAAGAAAGAAATGAAAAGTGTAATGAAAGTTATAGAGAAAAACATGAAAGGATGTTATAAGAAAGAAAGAAAGAAAAAAAAAAAGAAAAAAAAGAAAGAAAGAAAGAAAGAAAGGGTTGATAAGCTGTAGAAAACGTACCACCCAATCAATATTCGATGTAAAAAAGGTTTTATGAGTTACGAAACTGTCTATTTTCCCCTCCTTTGTTTGCATCTTTTTATCGAAGCATGGAGTCATGGTTAATGAGCGTATGTGGTTGACCATGGGTAACGATTTTCAGTCTCACAAGGTAGGGTAACTAAGCTAATAACCACTTGCCGTGTAGTGCAACGGTTATCAACGTTGAATATCGCGACTGAGTTCAAAGTCCGGCCTAATCCGTGGCATTCACTTTCACACAAATGTCCTTGGAAAAGCATGGGTCACTATTTTCTTCTCATAGTTATGGATCAAACAGTAAAGTAGACTGGAATCTCAAGCCTTGAGTGGGACTTAGTCTAAGTAAAGAAAACTCTGAATTCCAAACTGTGGAGCAGTCCTCAGGTAAGCATTTCACTATATTTCCATAGAATGGAAATTCAACGATAAGCCATGCTGTAGAATTGAACATCTCGAAAGCCTTTGACAGAGTCTGGTATACAGGTCTTCCCCACAAGCTGAAACGTTACGGTGCCTCTGGACACATTTATGAGCTGATCGCGAGATCAAAGTTGTCCTAAAAGGTCACTTTTCTAGCTTCTTGCGTACAAACGCAGGTGACCCCCAGGGCTCTCCATCGTTAGTCCTACACTGTTTTTAATTTTCATTAACGACCTTCCAGGTGACCTCAGCTCTCAACTTAGCATCTACGGTGACGACACAACAATTTATCCCTGCCTCGATAGCAGGGCTGATCAGTTCGACACGGTCAAAATGACAGCCAATGTCCAAAACGACCCCAAGTCCGTAGTTAACCGGGGCAAAAGATGGCTTGTCAATTTTAACGGCCCCAAAACTAAACGTCTCTCCATTAATTATCTGGGAGACCCCCTCTCTGCCTTCCAACAGCATGGCTGATTCTAACCTCCAGGAATGTTACATGTTGCGCCTTCTCAGGCTAATGATCTCGTCTAACGTTGAAACACTATATTGAATCCATTTCTAGGTCACGTACTAAGAAGGTCGGTTCACTGTGTCATGCGGGACAAATTTTCTCTCCGAAATCTATCTTACATACTTATAAGTCTACCATTCGTCCATGCCTAGAATATTGCTAGCACATATTGTTCGGTACCCCTGATGCTTACCTTGAACTCATTGATAAGATCCAAAAAAGAATCAGCAATATTATTGGTACTGATCTGGCGGCTCGGCTTCAGTCTTTAACCCATCGCCGTAAGGTTGCCACTCTGTAACCTTTTATAAATATTTTCAATGTAATTGTTCGGATGAGACATTCGCTATGGTACCTAGACTCTTTGAATTTAAGCGCAATAGTAGAGTGATGTCCAGATCTCGTCAATTGACAGATGAGCTGGTTAAATGTAGTCGTATGCTAACAGTTTCTTTTCTCGCACTTCTCAACTATGGAACCCCCTTCCGGTTCCATGCTTTTCAACAAAGTTTAATCTGCAAACATTTATATGCAATGTTAATCACTATCTACTGTCCTCATGATTATTCCTTTTTTTTCTCCCTGCTCATTTACGTTTCTGTTCCTAATTCTTCCACTCCCCCACCCACCTGTGATCCATTGCGTTTCAGTGGCTTTACTGCCTTGCTTGGGGTGACATTGATTAAGAAAGAAGTAATCGGTGAACAACCATTATCGCTTCTGTCCTAAAAGGACGTGACATTTTCTTAAAAAAAATATCATTGACTGAGGTCAGCATGTGCTTTGTACCGTAGATCAATAGACGTGGACAAATAGTTAAGAATTTAGACATCGATTGGTCAACACGGATTAGTGGCTGTTTTTTTTTTTTTTAGATTGGCGGGATAAATGCTTTTCAGTTGTCCCCAGTAAAAGTAATATCGCTAATAGCAAAGCTGTCGCTAATCACTTCTCCTGATGTTTTTGATAAAGTTGCAGCATTTTCAGCTCTAATAATATAATTAGTAATACTTCCGATACTTCCTTTTCGTAGGAAGGTTAATCTATATATAAAATACGGTGACTTCGTTAGTCCGTTCGTCACACCATCAAAAATAGCCATGCATTGACCGGAAACAAATTCTGGGAGAAGTATAAACAAGTAAGCGCGTATAAAGTACAATTGGTCTTATTAGGGTGTGCAGCTTAGTAAAATAAATTTTCATTAATTTTTTTTGAAATCTTAAAAGTTTTATTATTTAATATACATTTTTTTTAAAAAAATGGTTAGAAATAACAAATACTTATAAATACTTTTCTTTAATTTTTTTATATATTCAATAATTCAGTTTCAAGTTCGTCCTGCCTTTGCGAGAACTATAAACAAATCACAAGGTCATAAGCTTCAAAAAAGTTGAAATTTGACTCCAGAAAGTAATATTTAGGCATGACCAGTTATATGTTGCATGCTCAAGAGTAAGAAATCCTAAGAATTTATTCTTCACTGTAAAAAAGAAAAAAGAAATTTTCTTGAAAAATATTATTTAACATGATGTCCTATAAAATTAGATTAAATTAAAGAAATTATTAAACCACGAAGTAGGGTTTTTGTCAAAGTATTTTTCCAAATAAATCAGATTATTTAAATCTCATCGTTTAGTTTGCGAAATTGAAAGAATTGAAATTGAAAGTTAGCAATAACTTCAATAATATTAAATACTGTGAGGATTTTAACAGGCGTAAACGCGTTGCCAAAAAACTTCTAGTGGAGTATAATTCGGAATTATTTCCGGTTTTCCTTTCGTTAAGTTATGTTCTCTTAAAATTTGCATTGCAACTCTGCCATTATCAGGAGCTTCTCTCATAACAAGAGACAGATTCGGTCATCGAGAAATCGAATTGATTCAACAAACGCATCGATATATATTGATATTTCGATTTGTCTCTGTTGAAACATAATTTAGTGCTGGGCCCATAACCTGTAGTGTGATTGGTCTTGGTTAAATTTAATTGGCAGAAATGCCAAACAAATAGAATTGAGAAAGTTTCCAATGAACAATAACAAAAGAAGGAAAAGAGCAGAGCAAAAATAATATTGAGCAAACAATATATACCAGAAAAACTAACAGAAATAAGGCAAAACGTTCACTGTGAACACAAAAAGGGATGCGATCTGACTTCAAAAGAATAACGAACAGAAATGTTAGATAACTAGGAAGCGATCTCAGCATGCATTTATATATTTTGTCTATACATTTGGAGTGGGGGATGTTTTGGAAGTCATTCCATTTGATTAGAGTCAACAACTGAATAGCAGGACGACTTGCCTCTCTAACCATGTTTGGCAACCAGTCTAAGAGTTGGAAAAACTCTGAATTCAAATTAGAGATTGGCTGTTTGGGAACCTCATGTCATACTCTGCACCGTTTTTTTTTTTTTTTTTTTTTTTTTTTTTTTGTTTTTTTGTTTTTGGTTTTGTTTTTTGGCCTGGTTTTACATATGCCTTAAACATTTTAATCGAATCAAAGGTGTGTTCTGAAAAACTGCACTTTTAGGTCCTCTCACGACAAAATCGACAAGTGAGTCAATGAATGAAACATAGATATATAGATAGATTGATATGAGTTGACGGTGATAGATAGATAGATAGATAGATAGATAGATGTGGGTTGATTGTGATAGATAGATAGATAGATAGATAGATAGATAGATAGATAGATAGATAGATGTGGATTGATTGCGATAGATAGATAGATACATAGATATGGGTTGACCGTGATAGATAGATAGATAGATAGATAGATAGATAGATAGATGTGGGTTGACTGCCATAGATAGATAGATAGATAGATATATAGATAGATATGGGTTGACTGTGATAGATAGATAGATAGATAGATAGATAGATAGATAGATAGGAATCCAATAAATTGTTCAATAAGTTTAAGTTTAGCTGAAATATGACTAACTCCCCAACAATGGACAAAACTCGAATTGCAAACATCAAAAGTTAACTTACTCTTTATTTACCTTCATTTTTCACTCTTCGGTTAATTTTATTTTGTTGTTGCTGTTGCTGTTGGATGCAAAATGACAGGCTTCCCTGCTTATCGTTTCGATAAAGAATGAAGGTGATAATTAAACTTGACGTTGCAGAGTAAGGGAAGGGCAAAGAAGATGAGAACAGGACATTAGAAACAGCTGCAATGCAAGATAGGGATTGGTTGGGGCTGTTGGCTTTTCGTGCAGTTGACGAAGGAAGATAAAATCAAATAACGCACATGCGCAGTGCGTGTGTCGACATCAGATGTCGTCTGCAAACTCAATGCAGAAATTGTTAATGGATGTGATTTTAAGCCAATGCATGTATCATAAGTAAAACAGTGGATATGGTATCATTCAATGGTCGCGAGCACATTGTAACATCTATGGGACATAATGACCGATGCAGGTGTTCTGGGCTTGCTTTATGTGTTACGATTGCCACGTTCCCATTGGCGTCAGTTACTGATACAAGAACGACCTGGTGCTTTCTCTTAAACCTGACGTACACATATATATATATATATAGAGAGAGAGAGAGATAGATAGATAGATAGAGAGAGAGAGAGAGAGAGAGAGAGAGAGAGAGAGAGAGAGAGATATTATTGATTAAAGAATATCAAACATTTAAAATCTTCAAGACAACAGAAATTATTACCTATGGAATTTTAAGTGTTTGATATTCTTTAATTAATAATAATTTTGATCTGTCTTTTTACATAGAGCTCTCTCTGGATCTATATCCTTCTAGAAATTCCATACGGATTGCCATATTGTATCATTACCACACACACACACACACACACACACACACACACACACACACACACACACATATATATATATATATATATATATATAATGATGAAAGTGGGTACTGTAGAAATACATGGTAATATTTTATTTTAACAGATCAAATCGATCTCGTCTCATCAAACCAAATTATTACCTATGGCATTTTAAGTGTTCTTTAATTAATAATAATTTTGATCTGTCTTTTGACATACAGCTCTCCCTGGATCTATATCCTCCCGGAAGTTCCATACAGATTAGATATTGAATCATTATATATATATATATATATATATATATATATATATATGCATATCAGACGATAAAAGGGAAAAATTATGCAACTGTAGAAACCCAGTAGACTGCCCATTAGAAAATCAATGTTGTATTAATTCTGTGGTATACCAATGTACTATTTCATCCACAGAGAGCCCTAGCACTAATATGATATACATTGGGTCCACGAAGAATAATTTTAAAGATAGATGGAGGCAGCATAAGTGCTCCTTTAATAATATAAACAAAAGAAACCAGACTTCACTATCAAAATATTTTTGGCACCTGAAGGAAACAAATAAGACACCAAAAGTTAAATGGAAAATCATTGACAAGGCCAGAATATGTAAAGCTTGGGATGACCCATTCCCTTTGTGCCTCCATGAAAAATTGCACATCATTAAACTTCTAAATAATAATAATCTATTAAATAATAGACACGAGTTAACGGTTTTTTGTAGGCATCATCAGACTTTTGGTTTGAATTATTAGATAAAAAAAAAAAATTATATAACTTGTTTAACAAATAGCCCAATCATCAGATTCATAGTAGGAATAATTAACTACAAACATGCATACTACATAACACACTTCATAATCCATAGCCTAAATTACTAGTTTAAATACCTTACATATAAGATAACCCTTTATGAAGTCGTCAAAAAACTAAACGTTACGAAAGTTTTCCTTTTTTTTTTTTTTTTTATATGCACAATTCCCTTTCATAATAAAATAAAATAAAATAAATAAATAAATCTCCATAGACAATCAAACTAGACGATGGCCAATACATCTTCCGTTTCATTTTTGACACCCCCACCTTTCCCCGACTTGACACCTTGAAAGTATCTCTATACCGCTACTCAATATAAACACCCTACACTCGCCTACCCAATTTAGAAAATTCACCATAGCTGTTACCATGGGGATTTTGATTTCAATTTTAAAACAAGTAAATTTCAGATATACGTTATTCCAACAAAAATTTCGCTTGAGGATGGAACGGAGCCCATTTTACTTTCAACTCAATTTAATTTAAAGGATTATATTGAAGTTTTCGGCTCTAGTTTTGAAACATGAGACCTCTTATGTAGCGATTTGGAATCATATTTTTAAATAAATAATTATATTTATGCTCTACTTTTGTATCGAGCACTATTTTTTAAAAATAATAACTAAAATACTAAGGGACTTTGGATTATTTACCTAACCAGTTCCTTCCTATTTTCTATATATTTTCACATATTATATATGTATATATTAATAAATATACTTATACATTCTTTTCATATCAAATGTAAACATATGATGTCACACATCATTTGTTTACATTTGATACGCCATGAGCAGATATGAATGTACGTGAGAGAGTTCTGTGGCCAAATCGGTTAAAGGCACGTCAAGCTAATTTCTGTTCCGTACAGGATACAGGTTCGAATCCTGACTGAGGACGAATATTTTCTGTGAAAATTTCTCGGACATTCAGGCCTGTAAATGTTGTTTAATACTGTTTATTATAAACAGAGCATTTACTCAAATATTTGTATCTATAAAAAGAATGTATAAACATAAAAATGGATTAAAATAATTGTCGGACTTTGTCCATTTCATAATGTGTAATAAATATACATATACTTATCTTCGAAGTGCAACTTCTACCAACTCATCAGGCACAAATTATTACTTATATTACATAGGTAATAATTCGAATTATTACTTATATTACATAAGTACTAATTCGTGACTGATGAGTTGGTAGAACAACGAAACTGAAGTTGCACTTCGAACGTAGGTATATGTATATTAATTAATATATATTTCTTCGGCTCTGTCTAACCACATTGAACACTGTTTTGTTTACAACTTAAAGTAAATTTAGTAAATATTTAGTTGCTTACCTATGTATGCACGCTAACGCGTATATACGGTTGCTGATATCTAGTTATTTGATTTACCCACCTTTGAGAGAGAGAGAGAGACGGAGCGGCGAAATATAAAGGCAAACATGAACAGAGAAGAAACATTGAATTAATTTGTTCTGATATATCAAAATATATATATATATATATATATATATATATATATATATATATATATCAGGTTTCTCTCTTTTTCTCTCTAACACACTCTCACACATATGTGTGTGTGTGTGTAGTTGTAGTAGTACTAGTAGGATTCCATTAATCCCACAAATTGATAGGAAACTGCTGAGATAGATAGATAGATAGATAGATAGATAGATAGATAGATAGATAGTCAGGCAGGTAAGCACTCTTTTCATATCATTCCCCTTGCTATTAATTCCTGGTGATATTGTCCCTTTCTGTCATATATTGCTTCCTTGGTGCGACCTTCAATCCTCTGATTCTATTCAATTCTTTTTCCTGCTGTCTACAGCTTCATGTTATTACGTCTAAATGTTATTTATAAGGCGAGTAGAAATAGTTTTAACTTTGCCAAATATTTTCTTTTTTAGATTTCTTTTACATTTTTCTAATCTCACTTTTGGCTTGAATTCGCGTAGTCGTGTGGAGTTAAGCCACTTCTCTACCAAAGAAATTCTGCTCATGACCTCTGGACGTCGTTGCCAAAGCAGTATATAAGAAAAAAGCACAAAAATCTAAAAATCTTTTTTATCCCCAACCTCTCTCTCTCTCTCTCTCTCTCTCTCTCTCTCTCTCTCTCTCTCTCTCTCTCTGTTTTTCAGCAAGATGTCTTAGTTATAAGATGTGTCTCGATTCGCCATGGGGGACCTTTTGCTCCCAATCGAACTGCATATCGAAATAAACACAACACAATAATACACAGCAAACGATGCTTTAAACACTACACTGACACGTCCAAATAAATAAGCAGCAAATTCTTACTGTCCGTCCGTGTATCTGAAACACCTCTAACTCGGGCCACACTTACTGTACATTTACATATTATACCTTTTTAGTATCAGGATGATCCCGGGATTGAAAATCTATCCTTCGTCTGTTGCTCGACCATTAAGAATTAGGATTGGTGTCCGGATGAGGATGGAACAGTTAAAATTTGAAAAAAATGATAATTTTTAAAAGTACTTTTTATTTATATTTAATTTAAAGTAGCATAAAAATATGGCGAATTTAATATTCTTTTGATTGAAATTCAGTTTAAAATATCTCTAAAAATTGAATTGTGAATTGAGGAAATCAATTTTATTTCTTCAAAATGCCAAGGAATCAGAGGGTTTTTTTTTTGTTTTTTTTAAGCATTTCACCCCAAGCAAGGCGGGAAGCCACTAGGACGCAAGGGGTTACAGAAAATTTAGAGCAAGATCAGATAGGAGTGATAGAAGAAAGGATGAGGGTAGTGGATAGATCAAGGCAACTGGAGATGTCGATTGACATTACACTTGAATAGCTGGAGATTGTAGCTCACAGGGAAACTGGAATAGGGAAGGGAGTTCCACAGGCGAGAGGTGTGAGATATGAAGCTATTTGAGTAGAAGAGACGGCTACATTTAGGAGTTTCGACAGTGAAGGAGTGAGAGTGGGATGCCAGCCTCGTAGGGCGATTGAACTCATGAAGTCTGGGAACCAGCGAATGCAGCTCCTCAGAGCAATTTCCATGAAAGTATTTGTAGAACAGACAGAGGGAGGCGACGGCGCGTCTGTGAGAAAGTGTCTGTAGACGAGACGCCAGGGCAGGGCCAGCTACATTGCATATCCGCCTCTGGAGCCTATCAAGTTAATGTGAGAGATTTCGTGACGTGAGGTTTTGAAGTTCCTTAGAGTTTGCGATTTGAAGGGCTCAATTTTTCGGCCTGAATTGGAATTTCGGCTAAGATTGGTTTTTGGCCGAAATTGGACTTATAGCATAGATTTAGAGTTAACATGAGGTTTTGTACTTCCATGGAATCAAATGAGGAATTCAAAGTTATTTCTTCAAAATTATCATTTCTTTTTTTTCCTCCAGCTGGATCAGTGTATCGTTTGGTTTGGGGCTGGAGGCGTAATTAGCCCTCCACAGGAGCCAGTTTAAAAGTCCGCCCGGAATATGACTTTTAAACTAATATCTAATAATTCTACTTAACACATAAAGAACTCTCTTCAAAGTCTCTCACAAACTATCAAAGGAACTTAACCTGTGTACGATGAGGACATCTCTATAAAAACACATTCATTCGTCCCTTTTCTTATCCTTTCCTTTTTTATTTTTATCAGGTAATAGATTCTGTGTTAATTGCACGTAATTATTTGTAAGCCCATTTTACTGTTTTGTTTCGGATAAATATACTACCCTCACCAGGGGCGTCGCAAAGGTCACGTGGCTCCCACCGAATCTATGATATGGGGACACCAGAATCTATGATGCGAGGCGTCCTCTTCTACTAAATCTCAATTTTTATAAGGTAGTATTCATATAAAATACAAATTTTATTATCTCTATCTATAAAAGGCAGGATGTGTGTGTGTGTATGTGTGTGGGTGTGTATGTGTGTGTGTGTGTGTGTTTAATGAATGCACTACCGCAATTTTCGACGGATTTGCACCAAAATTTACATGCACATACTCCACGTTAGCGGGAAGGCCAAGACCGACTTTACATTTCCCAACTCCCATCGATAGTGGAAATAATCGATTTTTTCATGCTTCTACGGCAGTTTTCATGTAGTTTGCGGCCATTTTCTACTGGCCAGAGTGAGAGCCAATAGCTGGCTGCCACGAATAGACAGGAAGATTCTATTGGCCAGCGTGAGAGACAACAGCTGACTGACACGAATATTAATTAGCATGCTAGCATGCCAAAAAATCGATAGCTGCATTCGTCACAAGTGGGAAAAATTTAAATCTGCATGGCATTTTACTCCAATTGGTGCATTCGCATGCTTAAACTCAACGTTGATTCTGATTCCGCAGAACTGGGTTGGATGTGAAAAAGTATTTGTTGTTAACATTTTTTTTTCATTCGGTTTTTCCAGTTACGAGTCCTTTTTTAAAGCTGATCGTTTTGTGTTTATTTTGTTTAGTTCTTTTTTCGTAACAGATTTAATGTTTAGTATAGAGCTTAGAAAAAATTCGCAGTGTGAGATAGGCAAGAAGTAAGGCATGGAGCAAGATCAGCACGGCAAAGGTCACTCCTTTAAAGGCAAGGAAGGGCACAAATATTTTAAGTCAAGTGATAGCGATTGCTATATAAGTCGTACGATTTTGGCCTTATGCCATATCTAAGCTACGCTTGGAAAATCACTATTAGTCGTACGATTTTTTAATCAAGCACAGGCAACACCGGGCCATGCTGCTAGTGCAAAATAATATATAAAAAGGTGAACAATTCAACTAGAAAAATTGAAAATAAATACAATGTACCTAAATACAAATTAGAAACATGTAATAGATCATGCCATCTTAAACAATGTTTTACGACAATTTTTAACTTGGGATTTTTCTTGTCGAAATGTTGAATAATTTTAACACATTACGGATTAAAAAATAATGAATTTTATATAGTGTTTTTTCGAGACTTAGCATGAACAAAACAAATTCACGAATTTGGACGGAAAAAAGTCCCCAGAATGATATCAAAATTTTCAAAATATTTCAGTCTTTAACGGTGAGTTGTGCTTTACTTAATTTGTAATGTATAAAAATGTAGGTTGAAAATGCAAATGTTGATAATATTGCGAGTGTCAGAAAGCACTCACCGGGGAGTTGGGAGATAATCAGGCTTTCACCCACCTTTTCATATCATTCCCCTTGCTATTAATTCCTGGTGATATTGTCCCTTTTTGTCAGATATTGCTTCCTTGGTGCGACCTTCAATCCTCTGATTCTATTCCATTCTTTTTCAGAATCTGCTGTCTGCGAAATGACATACACTGAATTTCAAGCTTGCTTATAGTACTTTCTTATAGATGAGTTACCATCTGAAACTACACTCACACAGTTCTGGGAATATCATCTGTTGGAAAACAGCGAGAACTTATTCAAGATCCTGATAATTATCTGAAAAGTGTACTCACCGAGATACGGAAAGTACTTTAGTGAAACCCGAAGACGCATTGGGATAGTCAAAGATGTCTTCCAAAAGCTAAGCAGAAAAAAATCCTTCGTTAGAAACAAAGAAAAGAGTACTTAACTGTTACGTGATAATTGTCCACCCATATGGCAGTAAATGATGGAGGTTTGTTTGGGTTGATTTGTTTTATGGCATATCAACATCTCAATGGGTTATTTAATGGCGATAAAAGTTTTATTGTTGGTGATATTTTTTTTCAAAAATCTATTTCTGTAAATAATTTTCCTTCAAATATGTATCGCTTGTAATATTTTTTACAAAGTATTTCGGGTATTAAAACTTATTTTTACACTTTTATAGTGTTTTGACCCCAATTTGGGGGTTAACTATTTGCCCATAGCTGGGACCCTAACAGGTGTTACCACCCCGTGTCAGGGTGGACCTGGGAACACCAGTAATTAAGAAGTGGTTCCACGCTCCTCAAAACCTCCTGATCAGAGGCCATGCTGTTAGACGTAGTAGTTTATCGTCTTACACAGGACGGGAATAGTGGATGATTTTTTCATATATGAATAAGAGCTTTGAAGTAACAGAAATGTAGTTCTACAGAATAATGCTGAGCAGACCATAGACCGAACATATGAGCAACGACGAAGTTTTAGATAAAATGGAAGCAAAAAAGGAAACTTATACTTAACATCAGGAAGAGACAGTTGAAATGTCTAGGGAAGATGATAAGGAAGGAGGGCTTGGAAAATCTGATACTCACAAGACAGATTGAAAGCAAGAATGACAGAGGGAAACAGCGCATAGCATACTTGATGAGCTTAAACAAAGTGATGACAGAGCAAGGTTTAGGAGAACTAATGAAAAGACAAAATTTATTAAAAGCTACAAACGACAGGAAATTGTGGAGAACCATGATCGCTTACGGGAACACGACATATACAGAAGAATAATTAAAACTCTTCCCAGATAGTTAAAGTGTTGTGCTAGTTTGATTTTGGCATCTCTAATTTGTAATTTACATGTTAGGCTGTTCGTTTTGCAGACAACCAGGCATTCTATCTTCATCCAATTGATGTTTAGTCCTTTCTTCTTGCTTTTTTCCTTACCTTCAATCTCTATTGGTTGTAGACCTCTCTATAACCCACGTTTTGTAGACAACATTGACTTCATAGCAGGTAGTAACAGTGAACTCCAGGACTTGACCAACAAACTTGCTGAAAGAGCGGGAACATATGGAATGGAGGTGAGCTCTGAGAAATCTAAAGTAATGGTGAATAACACAAACAGTAACATTAACAGGAATGGGGAATTCACCAGAGGAAGTGTCCAGTTTTAAATACTTGGGAGTAATCTTTTCTAAAGATGGTACCTGCAACTCGGATATCTGCACACAGGTTTGGCCAAGACCAAATTGGCAAGAATATGGAGGAGCAAAATCAACTTTTAAATGAAGTAAAGACTGTACAAATTGCTGGTAGTCTCCATTCTCCTATATGGATGTAAAATTCTGTTGGCAGAAACAAAGTGAAGAATCCAAGTATTTGAGAAGAAATACACGAGAAAACTACTTGGCATTTTTTCTTGGGAACATAAAACCAATGAGTTTGTGTGGAAAAGGGTTGAAAGTTTTGTGGGTCACCAGGAACCTCTTCTCACCACTGTCAAACGTAAAATGACATAGTTTGGGCACATTATAAGGCACAGCAGCCTGTGCAAGACCATCATTTCCTTTCTCTGTCCGCGAACAGCACTGTCTTCTGCATGCCCCATGTTATAAAAATTGTGGTCACCAATAATGAATCCCGGTAGGACTTCTAATCCTTGCAGAATCAACTCACTGTAAATGTTGAATAAGTCTTGTGAGGAGACACATCCTTGTCTTACACCTCTTTCTATTATTTTCTGCATAAATATGTCAAGGTTACTGTTGTAGAGTAGTTTTCACAATGGAGGCTTGCATTTCACTAAGTCGGTCCTAAATTAGGCTCGACGTACAAAACATTAGGAACTCGAAATAATAGTTAATGGCGCAGCAATCTAGTTGTGGGGCTCATACTTTAATGTCCGACATCGACTGACTCACACAACTCACTCAGCTTCACTGGCGACTGCTACTACTACTTATCTGTGGGAGAGTCTATTTACAATAGAAATAGGTACGTTCCGGTATAACCGTTACCTAGCAGTTTCCGGCAGTTCTTTGCGGCGTACTTTATCAAAAGCTTCGGTTAATCTGGCAGAAGGTTGAATGTATGCTGCACACGGTGAGAATCGTACTCATTAAATTACATATATGTATTTGTGTTTGCATTTACTAAGAGAAAGCGGTAGAGTTTTATACAATCCGGCCTTTGAACTAGTATCATCATCTTTATTGTTTTCATTACAGCATTTAAGCTGAACTACCATCGGGTGTTTGTTGTATATAGAATTAGGCTTTTCCTATTTTATTCGCTTCAAGCTTCTTTACCTCTGTTGCGTCTACTGTCTTTCCTCGAGATTTATAAACATGTCACTGTCTAAATTCTATTGTGTTACAGGTCTCGTTTCTCCACAGGGCAGAGCATGACAGGAAGCAAGTTAACAATGCACTCGCCTGAACCAAATAAAGAATTTCATTTGAAAAGTTCATAATATTACCGATTGCGACAAACACTGTAGGAAGAATGTAGATTGCAGCAAACAAAACGAAAAAAAAAACCCTGAAAAACAAAACAAGATAAGGACACTAGTCCGTAAGAATTATTGCACATAATCAACATCTAGTCATAAAAAAGATGGCGATACTAATCGAAAATAATAAATGTATGAGGGTGAGTCAAAAAGTAATGCATTTATTTTTTCTTATATTGGGGTAACAGCAAAATTGTCCAAATCGTATAACACCCTAACACTAATTGATTTTCTTTCGTATAACACCCAACACTAATTGAGTTTCTTTTTTCCAGGTTTTCAGATAAGACGTTTAGCCATCTTGCCACCATTTGTGGTAAGAATCACTGAAAAGCCCTTTGAGTTATTCAACTAGAAAGAGAAGAGGTTAAAATAATTTTGTGTCAACCCCACTATGTCTTTCAAACTGAGCAATGGTTAGAGGAAAAAGATCATTTCCGCCTTCAGTAATCGTACTAACATTCATATTCTGGCTTCCATCTTCAGGGTCCATTCAAGAATCATCAACAGAACGGAAAATAAATTTTAAAAAAGAAACAGTAGAGAGGAAAACTGGATCAAGAGGTCACAACAGGAAGGCGGATCATCATTTCAACTTTGAACAATAAATATGTATTTAGCTCTAAGAAAAGTTCAACAATATTATAAAAAAAATGCTCGGAGAATTACAGTAAGATATCTTTAATTATTTGTAAGATAAAGCTTAATCTAACAACTGGATAATGTTGCTATTACACCCGGTGTGCATATATATATATATATATATATATATATATATATATATATATATATATATATATACCGTGTGTAACAGCAAAATTGTCCAAATCGTGTCACAACATAGGATAATTGCCCATCCAGCAAAATGTTTAATAACTAAAAAAAACGATAAATTTGAGTTTATTTTTTCCAGGTTTTCAGATAAGACGTTTAGCCATCATGACACCATTTGTCGTAAGAATCACTTAAAAACCCTTTGAGTTATTCAGCTAGAAAGAGAACAGGTTAAAATTGTTTTGTGTCAGCCCCACTATATCTTCCCAACTGAGCAATGGTGAAAGAAAAAAGATCATTCAGGCCTTCAGTAATGGTACCAATATCCACACTCTGGCTTCCATCTCCAAAGTCCATTCAAGAACCATCAAGATAACGGGCAATAAGTTTTAAAAAAGAGAGAGCAGTAGAGAGGAAAACTGGATCAGGAGGTAACAACAGGAAGAGAGATCATGATTTCAACTTAGAGCTAAATACATTATTATTGTTCAAAGAAGAGTCCCATAGTGTTATAAAAACCTCAGAGAATTCCAGTAAGATACCTTTAATCATTTCTAAGACACAATGGTTCAAAGCTTAATCTAACAATTGGACAATTTTGCTGTTACACAATTTGGACAATTTTGCTGTTACAACCGATATATCTTGATGTTCGACATGTTTGATTGAATTGCTTATTTGTTATATAAGAAAACAAAATGCATCACATTTTTACACATTTCTATAGTTAACATTATCTTGTTTAAAATATTCAGCAAATCTGAAAATATAGGATTTTTACACCGAATTGAGTTTATCTTTTTTCTGTTCTCTTACTACAATTCACCCAATACAATCTTCGAAAGCCACTCAAGGTAGAGGTTTACATTTGCTAATGGAAGGTAATGTTTAATTACATAGGAGAGAAGGTGATAGGAGGTGAAGGTTATAAGTATAAGGATAATATATAGCAATTCAACCTTTTGAACCTTGACTTCAACGGGTCAAGATTAAAGTGTTCGGGGATGCCCCCACGCGGGAGTCTCTGCCATGAAGTAGCAGTTCTTGGAAATAATTATTCTGCAAGAAACCTCGTTCTTAGATTTGGAGGATATAAGGCTGATTCAACTCCGTGGAAGAAGGGTTGTAGGATAGTTACGTATTGAACATTTGCGTTTCGGACAAATGTGTACAAGACAATTGCGTCCCTGGATAACTGCGTATCACTGATAATTTTTTGAAGCTTTGAAAAGCAATTACAATAAATTTTGAAAAAAAAAACAAAAAAACATAAGTATGTTATAGTGGAACGCACCTATTCTATAGTTGATAGACTCTTCCACCTATAATAAGTAGGAGTAGTAAGAGTAACACGGGGTCGCTCAGTGGCTCGGTCTGAGTTCAGCCGGTCGTCCGACTTCAGACTGAAGTCGGACGACCGGCTGACCGGTTGAACTCTCTGCCTTCGGGCGGGGAGGAACCCGAAAGAGGCTACGCCGAAGGGCGGATTCTCTTTCGGGGAGGTAAACCGACCCTGAACCCGTTTATACGGGTTCAATGGGCATATTTTTGGCCGAGCCCACGGGCTCGGAGATCCCACGTTAAACCGGCCGTGTGCCACATGATGCCCTCGTGGGGGGCGGGTGACTAAATATAGTCGCTCGGTGGGTCGGTCTGAGTTCAGTCTGAAGCCGAACGACCGGCTGATCGGTTGAACTCTCTGCCTTCGGGCGGGAAGGAACCCGAACGAGGCTACGCAGAAGGGCGGAGTCTCTTTCGGGTTGGTAAACCGACCCTGAACCCGTTTATACGGGTTTTAAAAGGGCATATTTTTGGACGAGACCACGGGCTCGAAGATCCCACGTTAAACCGGCCTTGTGTCACATGATCCCCTCGTGGTAGGGTGACTAAATACCGTCTCTCAGTGGGTCGGTTAGTCAGTCGATGCCGGACGACCGTTAGTCGGATACTAAAGTATCAGCGACCACAACTAGATTTCTCTGCGTCATACCTATTATATGAAGTTCCTAACGTTTTGTACGTCGAACCTATTTTAGGACCGACTTAGTACAAAATACAAGCCTCCAATGTGAAACCACTCCATAACAAAGTAGTAATCATATTTTTTTTTAAATAAAATAAAATTTTTAAAAAATCAAAATTTATTATTGTTTAAAATGCAAACGACAGATTAACACATCGCCAGTATGTTTTTGTTTCATCGGCGTTTTTCTTATGATAGTGGCGGATGTAATTTTCCTCGTCCACAAATATTTTTCCAAGATCCGAGATCGGTGGGTGACCAAAGAATGCAGCTCAATCGGTAATTTGACATCGAAATAGCGATAGAATTGCGACAGGCTTGGAAAGTTGCCTCTAACCGGAAAGAGATCAGAGAGTGGAAAATAATTCAGCCCCTATAAGACCGTGTTTTAATTAGTGCACCCGACGAGCTTCGGTAACCTCCTTGAATTTCAAATTGAACACTTTCTTTAATTGAAGAGGTTGCGCAGTTCTTCTGCTTCTGTATATATTAGCGGACATCATGTGACTAGTATTCATTCGTTGTGATTTATTCATTTAATCCAAATGTTTACATGGAATACATGCAAATTAATAGTTTTTTATTTTATTATCTTTTTGCTTTTTTTCAATATTAATTTTCTCGATCCTACATCAGATCTCTTCCTGGTCCTAACGTCTCTTTCATTTTTCGTTGCAACGTCACTTAATTTCGTCGTTGCTACGTTCATTCATTTCATTCTTCTTACTGCCTATCCTTTCCTCGTACTTAAGTCCCTTCATTTCCTCGTTCCTACATCCCTTTATTTTCTCGTTCCTACGTCACTTCCTTCCCTCATTTCTATACCCCTTCCTTTTCTCTTTTCTCGGTCTCTTCATTTCCTCGTTCCTGCGTCTCTCCTTTTCTCGTTCCTACGATCTTTCATTTCCTCGTTCCTGCGTCTCTCCTTTTCTCGTTCCTACGATCTTTCATTTCCTCGTTCCTGCGTCTCCTTTCTCGTTCCTACGATCTTTCATTTCCTCGTTCCTGCGTCTCTCCTTTTCTCGTTCCTACGATCTTTCATTTCCTCGTTCCTGCGTCTCTCCTTTTCTCGTTCCTACGATCTTTCATTTCCTCGTTCCTGCGTCTCTCCTTTTCTCGTTCCTACGATCTTTCATTTCCTCGTTCCTGCGTCTCTCCTTTTCTCGTTCCTTGATCTTTCATTTCCTCGTTCTGCGTCTCTCCTTTTCTCGTTCCTACGATCTTTCATTTCCTCGTTCCAGCGTCTCTCCTTTTCTCGTTCCACGATCTTTCATTTCCTCGTTCCTGCGTCTCCTTTTCTCGTTCCTACGATCTTTCATTTCCTCGTTCCTGCGTCTCTCCTTTTCTCGTTCCTACGATCTTTCATTTCCTCGTTCCAGCGTCTCTCCTTTTCTCGTTCCTACGATCTTTCATTTCCTCGTTCCAGCGTCTCTCCTTTTCTCGTTCCTACGATCTTTCATTTCCTCGTTCCTGCCTCTCTCCTTTTCTCGTTCCTACGATCTTTCATTTCCTCGTTCCTGCGTCTCTCCTTTTCTCGTTCCTACGATCTTTCATTTCCTCGTTCCTGCGTCTCTCCTTTTCTCGTTCCTAATATCTTTCATTTCCTCGTTTCAGCGTCTCTCCTTTTCTCGTTCCTACGATCTTTCATTTCCTCGTTCCAGCGTCTCTCCTTTTCTCGTTCCTACTATCTTTCATTTCCTCGTTCCTGCGTCTCTCCTTTTCTCGTTCCTACTATCTTTCATTTCCTCGTTCCAGCGTCTATTCTATTCTTCGCTCCTACGTCTCTTCCTTTCCTCTTTCCTAGGTCCTTTCATTTCCGCGTTTCTACGTCCCTTCCTTTGCTCTTTCCAAGTTTCGTCCTTTCCTCTTTCCTAGGTCACTTCCTTTAGTCGTTTCTGCTTTCTTTCCATTCCTCTTTCTACATTTCTTCATGCCTTTCTTTCCTCTTTCCTAGGTCCTTTCATTTCTTCGTTCCTACGTCCCTTCCTTTCTTCTTTCCTAGATGTTTTCATTTTCTCGTTCCTTTCCTTGTTTCTCGGTTCATTCATTTCCTCCTTCCTAGCTCCCTTCATTTTCTCGTTCCTACGTCCCTTCCTTTTCTCTTTCCTTCGTCCATTCCTTTTCTCTTTTTTAGGTCACTTTCTTTAGTCGTTCCTACGTCTCTTCCTTTCTTCTTTCTTAGGTCCCTTCATTTCCACGTTCCTACGTCCCTTCCTTTGCTCGTTCTTAAATCTCGTCCTTTCCTCTTTCCTCGGTCATATCCCTTAGTCGTTTTTGCTTCCTTTCCATTCTTTCTTCATTTCTCCTTTCCTACATGCCTTTCTTTGCTCATTCCTAGGTCCCTTCATTTCTTTGTTCCTACGTTCCTTCTTTTCCTCTTTCCTAGATCGCTTGTTTTCCTCGTTTCTACGTCCTTCCTTTCCTCGTTCTTACGTCTCTTCCTTTCCTCTTTCCTAGATGTTTTCATTTCCACGTTCTTAGGTCCCTTCATTTCCTCATTCTTACGTCCATTCCTTTCTCTGTTCCTACGTCCCTTCCTTTTCTCTTTCCTTCGCCCATTTCTTTTCTCTTTCCTGGGTCACTTTCTTTAGTCGTTCCTACGTCTCTTCCTTTCTTCTTTCTTAGGTCCCTTCATTTCCACGTTCCTACGTCCCTTCCTTTGCTCGTTCTTAAATCTCGTCCTTTACTCTTTCCTCGGTCATATCCCTTAGTCGTTTTTGCTTCCTTTCCATTCTTTCTTCATTTCTCCTTTCCTACATGCCTTTCTTTGCTCATTCCTAGGTCCTTTCATTTCTTCGTTCCTACGTTCCTTCTTTTCCTCTTTCCTAGATCGCTTGTTTTCCTCGTTTCTACGTCCTTCCTTTCCTCGTTCTTACGTCTCTTCCTTTCCTCTTTCCTAGATGTTTTCATTTCCACGTTCTTAGGTCCCTTCATTTCCTCATTCTTACGTCCCTTCCTTTCCTCGTTCCTACGTCCCTTCCTTCTATCGTTTCTACGTCCTTTCCTTTCCACGTTCCTATATTCCTTCCTTCCCTCGATCCTTCCTTCCCTTCTTGCTACATTATTTCCTTCCTGCTTTTCCCCCTTTCTTCCTCAACGTCTTTCGCCCGTTTCATTGACTTTTGTTGCTGTTTTTCTTTTCCTTTCTTTAATGTTTACCAACGATTCATATTGCATTATTAATTCTTTGAAATTATCTTCAGAGTGAGCAGCATTCTTCATTGAAAAAGAAAAAGGAAAGCTGTTACGTCATTAACTGATTTAGTGGGCGTATCTTTCTGAATGAATCATTTGGGTGAATGAGCAAATGCCTGAATGAAATAGAAATTGTCTTCGTGTAAAGGTTTTCTGATTTTTTTTTCTTTCCCTGAATACTTCCCTCAATGAATGAACGAATTAGTGGATGAATGAAAGGAAGAAAGGCTTACTTCCCTGATCCACACATACAAGGAATGGATCAATCGGAGTTTATTCAACTGACCGTAGTTTACAACTCTTTCTGCGTATAGCGCGCCATCTTACGGCATTCATGGAGACTGTCATCTGAATATCTATATTTTTTTAATTTGCTGTTCTTTTTTATCTGCACTGAAATTAAATAAATGATTGTAACAATGCAACAATTGTCACAATAATTATATTACCATTTCAATCTGGATCCATGTTGGCTCTTAAGCGAAAGTTTCAGTTGGAACTTTACTAACATTTCTCCTTGGGTGCTGTGTCCCTTCAGAATGCAGACGATCATGGCCCTCTAAAACTACATCTCCTTTGTAACTGTTAATAAATTTTGCCTTTTTGTTATTTTTTTCTTAAACACTTGTTTCGTCAACTATTTGCTCAGGCTCACTATGTATTTACATTATTTATGTTGTTGGAACTGTTGTCCTCATCTTCATTGCCATATTAACGAAGTTTCGGCTGTTGTATGCTCCAGCCTTCTTCGGGATCCGTCTGTAGTTCTGATGAGGTATCATAATTATTTACATTATTTATGTTGTTGGAACTGCTGTCCTCACCTTTATTGCCATATGCAGGACGTTCCGGTTGTTGTATATTCCAGCCTTCTTCAGAACCTGCATATATTTCTGAGATGAGGTATTATAATTATTTACATTATGTCGTTGGAACTGTTGCCCTCACCTTTATTGCCATATGCAGGACGTTTCGGTTGTTGTATGTTCCAGCCTTCTTCAGAATCTGCATATATTTCTGAGATGAGGTATTATAATTATTTACATTATGTCGTTGGAACTGTTGTCCTCACCTTTATTGCCATATGCAGGACGTTCCGGTTGTTTTATGTTCCAGCCTTCTTCAGAATCTGCATATATTTCTGAGATGAGGTATTATAATTATTTACATTATGTCGTTGGAACTGTTGCCCTAAATTTTTATTGCCATATGCAAGACGTTCCGGTTGTTGTATATTCCAGCCTTCTTCGGAATCTGCATATATTTCTGAGATGAGGTATTATAATTATTTACATTATGTCGTTGGAACTGTTGCCCTCACCTTTATTGCCATATGCAGGACGTTCCGGTTGTTGTATATTCCAGCCTTCTTCAGAATCTGCATATATTTCTGAGATGAAGTATTATAATTATTTACATTATGTTGTTGGAACTGTTGTCCTCACCTTTATTGCCATATGCAGGACGTTTCGGTTGTTGTATGTTCCAGTCTTCTTCAGAATCTGCATATATTTCTGTTAAAACACTTCCCAAATATTTGCACTTCTGTACTTGTTTGATGTTGACATCCCCAATTCGTAGTTTACCTCTTGGCCTTTTTCTCTTGATGGCAGCCTTACTTTGTTTCTTCTCACAGTTTATGGCTAAACCTGTTTCCTCTTTTTCCTTTACAACATTATCTTGGAAGTCCTGTAGTTTCCGTTCTGTGTCTGCCATCAACAAAGATTCATTTGTGTATCTTTATCGTTAAGATTGCGCCCCCTCCGATAATAAATCCTGCTAGGGTCTGAAGCTCCTTTAGGTTAGACTCGCCCTAGAGGAGTGAACAGGTCGAGATAAAGCACAAATGTTTGTCTTGAAACCTTTCTATACCTACTTAATTGCCAACGCGTTTCGTCCAATCTGGACTTTCTCAAGGCAAAATATCGAAATGAATTTATTGAAACAAAGCAAGTTCAGTACCTTTGTTCTGGAATTGTCATCAATGGTCATTGATGAAAATTCCAGAAGAAGTAACTATAAACAATTTTTTTTCTAGCCTCTTACCTCGAACCATCGCCAGTGAGACACGCTGCAAGAGCCACTCCGTTTTGCGAGGCTCGTTCCTTAATCGAGACGCCATCGCTCCAATCCTCTGAAGAAACGACACGAACGAATGCCAATAACCCCAGAAGTCTCCACTGCCACAGGAATAAAAAAAAATCTATCAGCAAGGGAAGAATATTAAACTATATTTTTTTCTCTGCGTCCCGGGCGACGGGCCCCGGCTCAGCCGCGGACCTGATCAAATTACCGACCGAAAACGTATCCGCACAGGTCGCATCCCAAATCAACGACTTCCCTATTTTAAAAGGGAAAATGGTAATGCCATCCGGCCGCTTTCCATCAGCACCTAATTCATTTTATATTCGTATGAAGGCGGTTTTCTGCAATTATAAGTTCAAGACTATTTTAAAATCATTTCGGATTAGATCTAGTCTATGTAACATTCAAATAGAGTCTTATGACTTACCTTGTCAAATGCCAATAAAACATGTGTAACATTCAAACAGATCCTTGTGCCTTACTCTGCCAAATGTCTATAAAATATGCTTAACATTCAAATAGATTCTTGTGCCTTGCATTCTTAAATGTCTATAAAACATGTGTAATAGTCGAAGAGATCCTTGTGCATAGCCTTGTCAGATGTCAATAAAACATGTGTAACATTCAAAAAGATGATTCTGCCTTACTCTGCCAAATGTCTATAAAATATGTTTAATATTCAAACAGATTCTTGTGCCTTATATTCTTAAATATCTATAAAACATGTGTAATACTCGAAGAGATCCTTGTGCATAGCCTTTTCAAATGTCAAAAACATGCGTGCATCCTTTTTCGCATTTGTGTTATCGTATCGTGTTGATATGTCAATGTAATTATAAACAGTGAAGCTTTAGGCCTGTTAAAATTGTTTGTGGTTGACATGGTGTAAATGAAATGATTATTCTTTGAGTGGTACAGTTGGTTTAAGAATGGTTTGTTTCTAATGACATTTTCTTGTTTCTTAATACTTTGCTTATTTTAAGAAAGCCATCTTTCTTAATTACTATGCACTGTTATATTTCTATGTCCCATTTTCTGTCATCTATTTAAATACTTACCTGATATTTAAATTTCTGTACTGAGCCAATTCTGACATCTCCAATTCATAACTTGCATCTTGGGATTTACCTTTTGCTGGCCATCATAAATTATGTCTTCTTACATTCGATGGTGGGTTCTTTCTCCTTTGCGTTACCGCCATGTCTCGAAAGTCTTTCGGTTTTCTTTCTTTGTTTGCCTTTCTTTGTATCTCATGCTTATTTCTGTTTGTTAAGATTGTAATCATGAAAAAACTTCGACCTGGTTTGGATCAGACAGTATGTTTAGTGTGTTGCCTGCTTCAAAAATAAATGTGTGTAAGGTTTCTTACGAGAATATTTTTTTACATGAAATAATGGTACTGAAAAGGGCACATGTACATAAAAACAGAGTCAATATCAAGAAAGAGAATTTTTAGTTTCTCTGATAAGAAATTAGCTTCTTAGAACATCTAATATGACGATCGTTCCTTTCCAGTTCTGGTGTCGTGACCACTAAAATATCAAATACAATATTTATAAACCAATCACACTCAAGAAAACACTTACCTCTTAAAACACACCAATAAAATCATAGAATACAAATCAGAATGTTTGTTATATTAGTCATCATTATTTTTAGGTAGATACTGACCAAATATCGTTCGGACGTAGTAGAAGACATACCACGTACCATTTTAGGGCCAATTAGAAATAAATAAATAATTTAATTCTGGAGCTTATTTTGTTACGAAAAGGTGTATAAAAGCATACGAAATGCGTTCCCAAACAAGATACACACAGTTGTCACCAAGCCCCACGCAACTCTCGCTTATAATCTTCACGACCTCATGCAAAAAGCGAAAACGTTGACAAACTTCAGACTACGCCAACAGCGCCAACAGTAAGAAACAATTTCTAACTATGTCTTGTATCCGATGAATCACACACACACGTGTTGACTTTTTCATACAAACACACATATCACAACATTTTATTGTTTCTCACATACATACACAAAGACAGTTTATATTTTATTTCAGAACTTTATTAACCCATACAAAAAAACATTACTTTCCAATCTACCATCAACTGCTTGTATTCTTGTCGTTATATGAAATTAATGTTCATTTGTTGAAACTACGTTGTCTTTTCTACTGAGTTTTATTCTTTCAATGAAAATCGTGTGATTATTCTAGACGGCCAAATTACGAGCGACCCTGTAACGATATTTTGTTATTGTATCGAATCCCGACACTCCAAATTTTAACATTCAACGAAAAACCGAGTAGAAGGATTCCTACAAATTATGACCACAACTCTATTACCTTGTGAAAACACGAAAGTTGGTAAATAGAATACACACAAAAAAAATTGAACAGCAAAATACAAATAGTACGGAAGCTTCGTTGACAACAGTCACCCTGAAATTACCTGCATATAACCCCCAACAACATTAAATCATGGTTTATAGAAATGCAGGCCATATTCAACACGAAGAAAATTGTTTCGCAAAGAACCTGATACTGTTATTTAGTAGTTAAACTTCCCGCAGAAGTCGTAGTTCCGGGTTGTGTCTGTTTGATGGTTTCAAATGACTCATCACCATTATTTTCTAAATGTGCCAGTTTTAGTCAGCTAATGGAAATATTTTCATGTCTATTATTAATCACAAATATGAAATGTTTCTCTGTACATTGGAAGGTCATCTGTCAGTGTTGTAGCATACCTACGGACGATAATGGGTATGCCCCCGTTCACATAAATACAGTAATAAATACTGTATGTTGGTCTGCAGTTGGAGATTTGTCTTCAGCTGTGCTGCTCAAACTCTCTCCCTCCGCCCAGAGAGAACCCCCAGACGAGGCTGTGTCGAAGGGCAGAGTCTCGTCGCGGGAAACATCTACC